GCTTGATTTAATGGCACATAAAACAGGTTTGGGTTTTTTTCTGCAAAAAGACAATGCGTTTAAAGCAAATTAAAATAAATGAAATGAATAGAGGTGTTTGTATCTGTGCATGCAGCATAATCACAGGAGCAGAGGTAATACATAATAAAATAAACATTCACTCATATTTAATTCACCAGTATTGATTGATTGATTATATGTAAAATTGTAAATATTTATATAAATTATATTAAACAGCATACAATATCTGGTTCACCTCGACAGAATAGTATATGCTACAAAAATAACATTTAATATGCTATAGTGGATGACAATCAATTAAATAATTATTTGAAGTCTGGTAGCCTATTACGGCAAGTCACATATTCTTATATGTAACGGCTCAAGATCATCAGAGGTTTTTTTTTTTTGTTGTTGTTTTTTATGTTCGCAAGGATTAGAAAAAGACCTGACCATTTTTAAACAAGTGATTTTCAGATAATTGTTCTGGAGAGCATGTGGTCAATGTTTTCTTCTCTTTCTCTTCCATCATGTTACCTATAGAGTAAAGCCTCTCATTCAGATTTAACAAATCAATACCATCTCTCACCCTCTGCTCTCATGTTCAAACCAGTGCTACCATCTTCAAATCATAATAAACCACATAATACCAGCAGAAACCTATCTGACCTGGAGTCTGTGTGTGTTAAGTAGGATTGTTTATGTGCTTGTGCGGGTGTAAGCTACACAGGCTTGTTTGTATGTGTGTGTGTGTGTGTGTGTGTGTGTCTAAGTAGCCTACACAGGCTAAGGTTTCTTATCAGAGCACATCAAGTCTGATGTGGGGTTTCAGAGCCATTACAGGTGGAAAAGGAGTGTTTATAGCCATCATCACTCTCATCTTTGAGACATAATCTCAGACAATCACTCCAATTAAATAAGCTGGGCTGCAAAGAGATGTGGAATTTGTTCATGTTTTTGGTTTTTCTTTATGTTCAATGGGAGCTTTATAATTTGTTTGCCTTTAACAAAGGCAAACACGTCCTAAAATTAAAAAAAAAAGTTATTAAAAGTTTATAAAGAATTCAGAAAGCACACCAAAGCTATGCAGTCTTAGAAAACATGAAAGAAAAACAATTTAATCATTTAAAAGAAACTGTAAACATAATCACACACATTTAATTATTTTCTTTTCTCTCACAAAGAAAATCAACCATGACGTTTGCACTGATAAATCATCTAAAATAATAGATTTAAAATAAATATCCAAACAAATAGCAGAAATATTATTTTCCCACTGGAACAATGTGCACTTATAAAATGTCATGCAGAATTTAGGCTTTTTAGGATAAAGATTTCCCTTCCCCCTCCAGTGTCCCACTTTAGCTTGGTTTCAGGATTTCATCCACAAATCTCTACTTATAGAAGCATGCTAAAGACTTCAACCTAGAACAGAGCAATCAGAGTCTGAATGTAAATTAATGTGTGGGAGGCGGGGAGGAGGATATTTGAAGGCTATATGTGAATGTCTGAGCAAAAAAAATGTTATTCAAACTGCTAACGACAAATGCAAAGTCTGGTCAAAACACATTTATACTTATCTCGGGTGTTTTCTAATATTTCTTTTAGCTATGCACGTGAGCAAAAACTGGGAACACATAGCCTACCATGGGGAGCGTCCGGCCCTCTCCCTCGAGCCACTGACTGGATAGGCCTGAAAAGTATCTAGAATCAAATGTAGCCAGAATAGGAAACATATATAATAAAACTGGTTTACATAGCTGTGTAAAATAGAAACAGACCATCATCACATTAGCCGTTGTGTTTCCAAAGTGTGTGGGGCAAGCGACGCTTCCTCAAAGTCTCCTATGGTTTAGCGACTGGCGCCATCTTCTGGTGGTTTAACGACATCACATGCTAGTGACGACTGGATGGCTGGATGGAGGTGTCCCTTGGTTATGTCACAGACGCATGCGCAGAACCTATCTCTGGGTTAAAATTCGCATGCGCTGGTCTTAAGCGACATGTATGCTCAAAATTGTTACCAAGTTAGAACATCATCTCAGTACAATTTTGAGCATACAGTGGTATGAACTATTAGTGGTACTGTTAAATAGTTATAAGTAATTGTTGATGAATAAGTAATTATTTACATAAATGGTATGCTTAAAGGAGAAGTTCACTTAAAAAAAAAAAAAAAAAAAAAAACTTTTGCTGATAAATTACTCACCCCAATGTCATCCAAGATCAAAAAAGGTTTTTGATGAAAACATTCTAGGATTTTTCTCCATATAATGCACTTTACTGGTAACCAAACGGTTCAAGGTCCAAAAGCCAGTTTCAGTGCAAACTGCACTGCACAGCTGTGCACGATTCGCCGGATTTACCGCATGACAAATGTTTATTCTCACACCTTTAGTTCCACTAAAGCTAACAAGTTATTTTTTTAACAGTAAACAGTCTTTTCATGTAGTCGCGATGTTATATTGTGTCACGTTTATCAAAATAAAACGTTGACTCCACTTCATTGATAGGCTTATTTTGAACTTTATTCTAGTTCAAACAGATGCTGTATGAAGCAGTAAAATATTGAATGAAAATGTGTCTGAAATATCTGCATATTTGGCAAAAATTGCATTTACTGCATTTCACTTGAACTGTTCTGCATCTGTAACGATGCAGGCAGCAATGAAGCGGAGAGTGAATCCAATTGCAGGCACATTAATAAACAAACAAACAGGTAAACCAGGGTAAACAACAGAACACTCAGAACAGGAACAGGGAACTCTGGACGGGAACAAGGAGACAACAACAAACATTACAAGATCAAGAACTCACAAGAACTGAACTAAAACACAGGGCTTAAACACAAGGGAACACAACCTAAACAAGATAAGAAGGGGGCGTGCTTAAACTGAAACACTTGGGAAGACCAGTCAACACAATAGACCTTATTCAGAGCTGCACCATGACAGGTATGAAAGTGAGGCTGTGAGAGACTTACCGTGTTTCCAATGGCATCCGCTGTAAAAAGCTGAATAAAGCGGCTATACTTACAATTTTCCACAGCTTACATTGTCGGGAGTTTTTTGTCAACTGACATTTCTTGGAAAGATATTTTTCCAGTGTTTCATGAGCAGAACAATCCGAAAACACATTAAATAACAGTATTGAAGAGATGCATGTCTATCCCTCACAGCCTCGCTTTCATTCTCATTAAAAATCAAAGATGGCGCTGCTGTGAATAAGGCATATGGGGAACGGCTGAACATGGGACAAGACACATGGCAGGATCACATGACAAACAGGAAATCACATGACAGACAAGAACAAGACAAAACCACAAAACGCCTTGCATATGGTCAGACAAAGGAAATGTGATTTACATTAACAGTGCAACATTTTTAAAGAGTGCCATTGAACAGAAAATATACAAATTATACAATATAAATTGAAGGAATTTCAATGACCAATGTCTATTTCAAACTTTCAGCAAAGCAGTTATAAAATATAAATAAAATATCTCTAAACAAAATGCACAAAAAATAATGAATGAATAAATAATATAAAATCTTTAAAGGACCTATGGGAACTGTGGAAAAGCATATATGTTTTAATAAAACTTATTTGTGTAATGCAGTTGCAGTAATTAGCATATTTGTAAATTATTAAATATATTTTATTTGAGCTAAATAACTATGCAATGTCCATAATATGGTTGTTTATTTGGAAATAACTATGCAATGTCCATAATATGGTTGTTTATTTGGAAATTATAACATGTATATATATATATATATATATATATATATATATATATATATATATACATACATACATGCATACATACATACATAAATGGACTATGCATATATTACAATATATTGGACAATATAAATATTAAATCCTATTTATGGGAATATATTGCCTAATATATCACATGGTATTTTTTCCAATATACTGCAATATATTTTTCGTAAGGGAGGGCCCTTTCATTGCTGCCTGCAGCTTTAATGTCCTATAATCACTGTAAAGCTGCTTTGAAACAGTCCATATTGTTAAAAGCGCTATATAAATGACTTGAGTTGACGTTGCTCAACTGGTGGAGTCAGTTGACTGAGACAGCACTGCTTTTGTACGTTTCTAAATATAAAAACATATTTAGGTGAGCTCACCACACACTCTCTGACTTGGACACCTTGGGCAGATTTGGCACATGCAGAAAATAATGACAATGCTGGCAACATTAATTAATAGCAATGACAACATGTTGATGCTGTTACAGTATGTAATTTATATAATAGCCTTTTATGGGATTAGGAAAGTCTGGTCAAAGTTAATTAGGCATTTAAGTTTTTTGTATTTGTTCAATTAATATCAAATGATTATCTGAATGAACAGTAGGCATAATTGTGTGTTGCTCTATTTAAATCTATTTATGGTGAATAAACTCAAAGTGGGATGTGCATTTTAATGACTAAGAAAAACATTTTGCTGAATAGGTTGACAGCTCTAATCTCTTACCATGTGATACATGCTTGAAAGAGGAAAGGCACTGATACTTCACGATTTATTGGCAGACTCGCTGACGGATTCTTCTAAAGCAACCTTGCATCCATTTACCTGGTTGAGTATCTACTTAAAATCCATAGAAAAATAAGTCAGCAAGTGAATATACCAATCTAGATGCTGAAGACTGAAATAATGCAACTTATATGCAAATCATTTTAGAAATACAATAGAGGAGGGGACAAACATTGCAATATGAACACTACATACGTTTAAAAATAAGACTCACCTGGGTGAAACATCGACAAAGAGATGACAGCAGTGTAGAGGAATTTGATGTCCAATTCCCATTGAGGTGAATATATGCTCTCCTGTTACATAATATACAGTATGTTTTATCAGTTCACATCTGTCATGGCATGTCTCATCAATATTTTTGTTTTCATGAAAACCTGTCTTTGGTATGCAGTCAAAAAGTTTTTGTACTGCACGATGAATAGATAAGCAGGAAAACTAGCTTTTCAAGCTGTGCTGTACTACATTTGGCTCTTACACTCTTACACATTTGTGTTTGCAAAGCAGCTGGATCCACATCTCTGCACAAACCCTCAACAATGCTTAAGGTTAGCTTGTCTTTTCTCTTTTAATTTCTTTAAAAGACTTGACTTGTAATTGAGATTTTTGTAATCAGATACTGTTTGTCAAACACTTTACTTTCCTGAATTGAGGGAGTTATAATGCTTGTCTTTATTTTAACCATCTATGTGAATAAACAGTGTAGATCTTGGTATTCAAACACTTTTGTAATCCAAATGGCATTATTTCTCAACTACTTAATTTTCTGTTTCTTTCAACAGAGAGAAGTCAAGCCATACTGGAATCTGTCTGTCAAAATTTTACATGCGAAGATCCATCGGTCTTATGACTACGGTGAGACAATCTCATTTCAAATTCATTTACACATTTAGCAGGAGTGTAAACCTTACAGCAAACATGTCTAAACCTGTTTGCAGTTTTGAAGAAATTTTTTTTGTGTTTTCGTGTGGACCATCTCTGCTCGTTACATGTGCCTGTTTATTATAGAGCGTTCTCTTTTGATGTAATATATAGAGTACAATAATTTTTCCAATCTCAAATTCTATGTTAGTATACAGTATAATCCTTTGCCCACCTAACAGATTTTTGAAGGCATTTCTGGGATATCTAATAACTGACACAACAAAAATCTCTCTTCATTATTATCAAGGGCTGTGTACTGTATAAATGGATCAAGGATTATTTCTCACTGGCGACTTTTCCAACCCCACCTCCATTTTTCTTTAGTGTCTGCATCTGACTGCTATGTGATCCTCAACTTACCCACAGCATCGGTCCTTACAAATCGCACCAAGACTATCCCAAATAGCGACAATCCTGAATGGAACGAAACATTTAAATTCAGGATCCACAGCAGTGTCAAGGTAACCCACTAAAATATTTGTCTGATCTAAGATTGTTTTCTTATACTGTTTCCTCGTCCTAGCTTTCACTAATACAATTCATGAACGTATGAACTAAAAATTAGTTGTATGAATGAACCAAAAAATGTTACAGTTCTTTCTTCTGTTCTCCTACACAGAACATTCTGGAGATCTTGCTCTATGATGATGACCTATTTATAAGAGATGACCAGTGTGCCACTATCTTTTTTGACATCAACAACCTTACACCTGGGAAAAAGGAGACCAAATGCTTTATTGTAAATGATTCGGTCAGTGCTATTTTGAGATCTTCGATCTAAACTGACATCACAGCATTATAAAACAGTCACTTGACAGAGCACTTGGTATTTGATTGTGAATTTGTGACTATTATACTTTTCTTTCTCAGACCAAGGATGAACTGTGGGTAGAGTTTGAGGTCACTAAGAGGTGAGGGAGATTGCCTTTCTCATTAACATTTGCAAAAATAGGTGCCAAGTGCATGTCCATACACATAAATATGAACTGCATATGTCTCTATTGTGTCTTTATATGTATTGCAGCTCTGAGACACCAAGGCCATGTGTATCTAATGGAGTATTGGTGGTACGAATCTTTACTACAGCTTTCTTATCTGTATCATGAGTTACAGTCATGGTTATTCTATACCACAGTTTAAAAACTAAATCTAATAAAACACTATAAAATTAATCAGATGAGCTTTATGCTTTCTCACGAAATCAGGCAGGTCCTTTTTGTGAGCTGAATGTGGAGATAGACAAGCTTCTCAATGAGTCTGAAGGTAAATATAGCCATTTTCATTAAAGTTTGCACAGATAACAGATGGCTACTGAAAACACACCGGAATTCGATATTCAGAAATAGATGTAATAAGAAATAAAGTGTTAAATTACTCTATTCTTTACATTCATTTATAAAAAATAAGTAGTGTAAAAATAAACACAAGAAAGTGTGATATAATCTCAGATTTGGGGGATTTTTGCCAATTCTCTTTGTGTTCCAGCAACGCAGAACATGGTGTTAAAACTTAAAGGAGCCTACAAAGAGAACTTTGTGATCTCAAATTCTGAGGAAAGCTCCAGCTTCCTGAAAACATTACGTTACTACATCAACCGAGACCTGGAAACTGAACTTAATCTGACCTCTGAGACTGTTGTCAGCACAGAAAAAGTAGGTCATTGATGTGCAGATGTGCAAGAGGCATTCCTGACTGACATTGTTAATTGAAAATTACTGGAAAAACTACACATTCATTCTTGATATTTGGTGCCATAAGAAACAGTATGCATATGCATGCCTCACATGTGGGGTTGTAGATTTATAAAGCACCTAAAACAGAAAGTGTGCATCAAAAAGTTATTAAATGTTTGTTTTTAACATATTTTCTCCAGGCTGGGACAGTAGTAGTTGATGCTGTTGTTCCAAACCATGTAGACACTGAATTTACTTCTTTCCCTTTAAAACCACCACCGGACAAACACCAGCTTACTGTCTCTTTGCCTCTAGGAGTGGTGAGTACTGTAAAAAAATTGGTTGATTAATTATACCTGAATGTGGCTTTCCAAAAAATGGTTTATTGATAACATCATAACTTAAATGAGTATTATAAATTGCTTTCCATCCTCTCTCATAGTATAATCAACCCGGTCTCATCCCAAGACGTCATAACTGACGTTTTGGGACGTCTTTTGACCATACGTCAATATTCGCCTTTTTAGGGCCCCTTAAACGTCGGTAGATGAGGTTATGGGATCCTAACTCTACCCCATACCTAAACCTAACCCTAAACCTAACCCGTCACCTAACTGACGTTAAAGGTAAAGCGTCAGTTGTATGACGGCCCGGGATCGCCATCTACCGACGTTTAAGGGGGCCCTTAAAAGGCGGATATTGACGTATGGTCAAAAGACGTCCCAAGAAGTCAGTTATATGACTTTTTGGGATGAGACTGTGTTAGTATAATATAATAATTAAACAATACTGTATTTTTATTCATATTCTGTGTATTTATCTAAGTGGACCTTTCTTTCTTTCTTTTTTCCCCCAAAGAATAAAGTTGATCTGCAACTGAAAACAGATGATCGGTAACCGTGAATTCATTTACACTTATCCCCAGTAATAGTTTGATAGTAAATTGTTATTTGGAAGTATAAAACAAAATATTGTAAGTTTTAATACTATTTATCAGGTTTCATTTTGTTGTTTATTATATATGTGGGCAATTGTGAAAAAATCAATAAAGTATTACAGAACTGAACTGAACTGAAATCCATCCTATTGTTAGAGTAAGGATATTTTTTGTGATTTGTTCTGAAGCTCTGATAAAGAGCTGGATGTGCGTCTGGATTTTGATATCCCAGAGGAGGAAAAGAATTTTCTGGTGAAGAGAAGAAAAGTCGTGTCACAAGCTCTACAGAAAGCTCTGAATCTCAGCTCTGCACCTGAGCCCAGCGAGGTAATGTAGATGCAAGCACAAAAAATCCAGACACTCAGCAAAGAACTGAAGAGATTGGGATGTTTTACTATTGCTATATGTAGTATGTACACAAAAATAGAATTTTGATTCCAGATCTGTGTTTGATGTAACTTCTCAGGTCCCTTTGATGGCTGTGGTGTGTTCTGGGGGCGGGAGCAGAGCATTGACATGCACGTATGGTAGCCTTCAAGGTCTTCGGAAGATCCAACTTCTTGATGCAGTCAGCCACATCACAGGGGTTTCAGGTGCCACTTGGTGAGATCGAAGAGCATCAATGTACTTTTAAACATGAGTATCGCAACTCACAATGACTTCCAGGGAAAATGGCTTGCTGAGTATTTAGACTGATAAAAACACAGCAAGCCATTTTCCCTGGTAGTCAGCCAGTCAGATCAAGAGTACCGGTTTTGTATGTAGATGCATCAGACAGACTGGAAACATAGTTTTAAGTTATATATTTACCCTAATTTCAGAACAAAATGATTTGATGGGTTGAATCTGAATCTTTTGTGTATTTCAGGGCTTTAACCTCTCTTTATGAAGACCCTAACTGGTCACAGGGTGGCCTTGATAAGTCTATGGAGTCTGTAAAGAAGGAAATCTCTAAAAAGGTGCTCAGTATGTTTTCCCTGCAGCAACTACGGGAATACAAAGAGAATGTTGAAGAGCGAGAGAAAGAAGGACACCTTGTGTCTCTTATCGATATGTGGGGTCTGGCTTTAGAGTATCTTTTCCAAGGAAAGGTAAAAAGCAGCAGGTGTTTGGCTCAGTATTAACATTAGTTACACTATATATAATATACTTTCCTTTTATAGAAACGCATGGGTACACTATCTGAAATGCAGAGGACAGTGTCCGACGGCCAGAACCCTCTACCAATCTTCACAGCTGTCAACCTGAAAAATGGCAAGACAGAAAGTATAGTAGATGCAGGTATGTAAAAGATAATGGCCACTCAATTTCTATTCTCAGATTAAGACATGAGGAAATAAACATCCCACAGGCAAAAATTTTGTAATACAGCTGTGTTCTTTTCTGTACATGCTACACTGCTATAATGGTGACACTAGTTAGTCGCGTGTCAAGTTTCACAGAAGCGAAAAACAGAAATCTTTATTGTAAAAGTGCTGTGAGGCTCTTTAGTTATAAAAGTCCAAGGAAGCTATACATTGTAATTTCATACCAGGGCAGTACTCACAGGTGTCATTCTGTCATTTACTCACTCTCATGTCATTCCAAACCTATATGAGTTTAGAAAGAAGAAATTTTAAAGAATATTGGTTACCAGACAGGTTATGGCACCCATTATGCTGCACTAAGGCAAAAGGTTGTAACTTTAACTTTAATGTAATTTTAAGGACAATAAACATAAGTTCCCTTTTGAACGGTCACTTTGTATTTGCGTAGCTACACGCAGTTGGAAAAGATATAAGCGCATGCAAATTATTTTCTTATCCAAACAGTTACGGGACATTTATAATAGGTTCACTGTTTGGTTAAGAAAGGAGATAATAAAAAACTAGCTTGTAGCTTGATAGTGTTGCGACTAAATGTGTATAGCGGATGTTTCCCATGTTTATTTCTGTTCTCTATTTAGAATGGTGTGAGTTCACCCCATATGAGGTTGGGATTCCCAAATACGGTGCCTTTATACCTGCACAAAACTTCGGGAGTGAATATTATCTTGGTCACATGGTCAAGAAACTTCCTGAGACAAGGTTGTCCTTTCTTGTGGGTGAGTGCATGTGTGTTTTTGCACATAATGAAGACTGAACTGAATGTCATAAGGAAGAGAAAGTGGCCACTAGGGGGATACGCCTGATCCTGCGCTGTAAGCAAACAGTGGATCCAGTCACCATTACTAAGTCCAAACTCTTTGTGTGTTTATGAAGGAATGTGGAGCAGCATTTTCTCTGTAAATCTGACTGAGATCTGGGGTCTTGCCACAGGAGTCGCCCCCTCCTGGACCCCTTGGTTTGGTAAAGCAGTAAACACAGGTGAGAGTTTGGGATGCATTTAATGTACGACTAGTTTTCGAAAGTTTGGGCTCATTACGATATTTTTGCATTAAAGGATGCATTAAAGTGACCAAAAGTGACAGTATATACATTATTGATTCTTTTTTTATCGATTCCTCTTTTTTGTCCATCAATGAATCCTAAAAATCTACAAAAATAATACGTTTTGGTAACACTTTATTTTACGTTCTGTGATAGAATAAATACTTAATTAATTACTTAGTAGTAGACATTGTAATAACAAAATGTAATTAACATGTAACTAAGTTATGGAATAACCTGTACTTACAGATTGTAATTACACTCATGAAATAGGCAGCTACAGTAACAGGCCGAGTTGGTTACATACATGTTACCGACTTGGTACAATGTAATTATATAAGAAAGTACTTTGTACTACTCAATGTAACAAGTACGTACTTAAATATGTACTTTAAGTACATACTGCATAGGTTTGTAGATACACATGTACACTTAAGGACAATCTTGATACAATTTATGTCACGTAGCTTATCCCTGTGTAATATTATGTAATTGAAATGCAATTAGGAAACTATCCGTTTAGCCGATTTTCTAATATTTAGAAGAATACCAGTAACCATGTTTCTGGTCCCATTGACTTCCATAGTAGGAAAAATATATACCGTACTATGGAAGTCAATGAGACCAGAAACTGTCTAAGAGACGTAAGAGAAAAAAAATCTTTAAAAAATTTTTTATGATTATACATTGACATGATTATTGTCTTCTTGTCCTCTTCTGTAAAGAGACTGATAGTAAACCAACAGCACTTGGGACATACCTGATCAGTCCTGTGACTGACATTGCTAAAATTCTGTGTGGCTTTATGACCAGCCGCCCAATTGTCAGCCAGATGTACAACTTCCTGAGAGGCTTCAACCTGCACAGAAACTACAATAAGAACACGGGCTTCATCTCATGGAAAGGTCAAGAGCTCCACTTATCCCATTGACCTACTTATCTACTTATACCAATTGTATTACTTTAATTCTACTATATCTTATCTCTGCTGATATTCTTACTGTATACAGACACACACCCAGATGCCTTTCCCAACACTCTGACACCAACTGATCCTGTGCTGAGTTTAGTAGATGCTGGATTTGCCTTAAATTCAGGATTCCCTCCTGTGGTTCGCTCTCACAGACATGCGGAAGTTATTCTGTCTCTAAACTACTCCTGGGAACTGGATCAGTTTAAGGTGCGGGAGACCAAGATTATGTCAGATTTGGTTGAAATGCATATGAAACTTTGACAAATGAAAAAAATATATTTATGCATTGTTTTTGCCCAGTAGGTCATAAAGCAAACTCAGGAGTACTGCACTGATCGCAAGATTCCATTTCCGAAGATCGATTTCGAGAAAGTGGAGTCAGAGCCACTGAAAGAAGTCTATGTGTTTGAGGATAAAGAGAATCCAGAAGCTCCCATAGTGCTTCACTTTCCCATGGTCAATGTCTCATTCAAACAGTTCAAAGCACCTGGTAAGCACTACCAATTCATAGGCCAACCCTAATGCCATATTCTTAATAGAAATTACAGTGCATGTAAGGCAGAACTGTATTTATGTTCCTCAGATATTCTGGTTAGATATTCTCACTATACATTACAGTATATAAACTTTTTAAACCAAAAATGTAATCAATACACTTCAAAAGCTTGGGGTCGGAAAGATTTTTAAAAAAAATGCTTGCCAAGGCTGCATTTATTTATATTATTATAATTAAATACAGTAATAAAGTAAAAACAGTACAATAAAGATCATTTTTTAAAATTGTATTACAATTTTTATATATATTTTAAAATGTAAATTATTCCTATGATGCAAAGCTGAGTTTTCAGTATCATTACTTCAGTCTTCAGGGTAACATGATACTTCAGAAATCATTATAATATTCTAATTTGGTGCTCAAGAAACATTTCTTCTTATTATCTAAATGTTGAAAACAGTTTTGCTGCTTAGTATTTTTATGAAAACCATAATACATTTTTTTCCTAGGATTTTTTGATGATTAGAAAGTTTTTTTTAACAATACAACAGACTCATTGAATAGCAGTGAAATTTAAGAGAAATTAAAGCTTCAAGTTTAAAAATCTTCAATTTACTTACAGTATATCACTAATGCATTCAAATTGCAAGTGATGGTGACAACACTATAATATTTGCATACCTAATTGTTCTTTCTTTCACTATTTGCATACTGAGTTGTGTTTGGTCTTGTCTTCTTTACATTTATTAACCCATTTATACTTTTACAATGCACTGACTGCCATTAATGACAAAGCATCTGTAAAAGCCTTTGACAGTAAAAAAAAAACAATATTCTTTTGCCACCTCGTATTTTCTTTAGGAAAATTTAATGCAAATCTAGGTTTTAGTTGATATTCTTTGTATCCGTTTGGATTGCAGTTTATTGTGATTAAACATTGCCATCTTTCAGTAGACTATACGTCAGCTCAATTGTTCAAATAATCAATGATAATATAAAATGATTTGTATATTTGTGATGTAGGAGTGAAGAGAGAAAGCGAGAAGGAGCGGAAGGAGGGAGCCGTTGATGTTGAGTATAACAGTACCTCCTCTCCATATCTTACTCAAAACCTGACTTACACACCGGAGGACTTCCAGAAGCTTATCAACCTCGCGTCCTACAACATCCAAAACAACAGAGATGTCATTTTGAATGCACTAAAGAAAGCACTTAACCGAAACAGAGAAAGACAGTTGAAGGAGGTGGCAGTAGGAAAGGCCAGTGCAGGCTCTAGACCAAAACCAGAATCGCATAAAAGAAAGAAAAAGGCACGATGATCTGCAACAGTGTACAGTGCATTTTAGAACAGAAAGTCTTTCTTCTGCATATTTTTTTTTTATGTTTGTGCAGTAGTCTTATCTTTTGTCAATCATATTATGAAATGAAAAATAGTTTGCAATGATATACTTACAAAAACAATGATATACTTACATATTACTGTATCTTATTATCTACTGTATTACATCTACTGTACATCTCTTTGTCCCAACACATGCCAGCCAACCCAACAATCTGTAGTGTACAAAATGATTCATTTCTAAACGGCTAATCACAGAACTGACAGAACACTCAGGATTTTAACAATACTGGGTAGTGAAGACATACTAAGGTGTTCCACACACAAAATATGTTGCAAGTTCTTTTGGCCAATCTGACTCATTTACTGGATAGACTGAAGTTTATGGCTTTTTTGTTGTTGTTGTTACTGTGATTCCCTATTGTTTCACTATATGTGTCGTTGGGGTGTGCCATACAGTAGTTATACATTGCATGTCATCACCAAAGAGTTTCAGTAACACTGTAGAATGGATTAGAAGCCGTCTTTGCAGGGGCATGGACGAATGTCACAAACAAAACAGAGCTGTGGGAAGGGAGCGAGGCCGGTAGCATGAGCATGCCACACCGGTCTCAAGTCTCTCAGAGGAGCTCTGGAAGGACAAAAGGAGGAGTGGGGACAGTGCAAGACAAGAGAGGATTTTTATTGTGTTTCATTATGTTTATATGCTTTTGTTTTGTTGTTTATTTTATGATTAAAATTGTATGTTGAAAGATGGTTTGATAATGTTATAAAGACCATTGAGGATCTGAGAGTGGAGTTCAGAACTCCCTTCTTGGAATTTTTCAAAAGCACTCTCCACTAAAGGCACATACTCTGAAATCCCCATGGTAGCTAAAGGCGTAGATTCTCTTGACATGCCTTCGTAAATATCCTTCACTCGTAGAACGGGTCAGGTTACAGGCAGCTTTATACAGGTTGCTCCTGAAAACGTACATAAAATACATACAATTAAAGGTTGCATGAGCCATTTAATAACCAGTTAATTAAAGGCTCATGTAATTTGCCAATTGCAGTGATCATAAACCAGTCTATATATATATATATATGTATATATATATATATATAAAAGAACAATATATATATTGAACAAAACCTGTTACAAAGTACAATAGGATTATATTATAATGTGTTTTTTTTAAATGAATGAATTGTGATAGTCTTGACTAGCCTCACCTGGGTCCTAGGTTTGTGCCATTGCTATATATATATTAGTGTAAAATATTTTACATTTTAAAACATTTTCAATACTGAGTAACTTCCCATTCCTACACCTGATGCCTTATGCCAATCTTCTCTCCTTGGGCCTAACTGACAATACCACCATTTCATTTGTTGGACCAGGCAAACGAATGTTGTATAAACTTATTTACTTTGTCAAGTCAAGTCAAGTCACCTTCATTTAATATAGCGCTTTTAAGATGCCATTCTTCTTATATTGTAATAGGATCAGTATTTATGGGAAGTGTTGCAGTGTTGCATGCATTGCATATATGCAGCCTAACAATGAATTATATAATTAATATAAAATAGTACAATTATAGTAGTTGTTTTATGTGTATGCTAGGTCAAAGAGATGTGTCTTTAGCGTTTTTAGGCTAGATTTGAAGTGACAAAGTGTTTCTGCTTCCAGGACAATGTTAGGAAGACTGCTTTGTGCAGTATTTAGTTTACTATTAAGTTCAATGTACATATTCTCATAAAAGATGCTGCACTATCTGTGTTATTGGGAGTTGATTTGAGAACGAGAACAAAACCTATGTTACAAAGTACAATATGATTATATTATAAAGTGTTTTTTTTTTAAAAAATGAATGAATTGTGATAGTGTTGACGAGCCTCACCTGGGTAGGTTTGTGCCATTGCTGCTCAGACCATGTGCACATGTGAGTCGGGAAGACAGCTGCTGCTCCCTGTTGGCTGTAATGTGCTATTTGGAAGAGCAATGCAGCAATATGATTACATACTGTAGATCAAGCCCTGCCACACATGAGCTCAACAGGTTTAGTGTGCTTGAGGACAACCTGTAAACAAAGCAGGTATCAATTGAATATATCCCGTGTTTTAGGATTCAGGCAATCATAGTCACTGTTATAATTACTGGAATAATCATTCATTGAATTATGTTTGTTTCTAGTGTTTGAACCTTCCTTGGGCTACACTTTTAAATGTTGGCAAGCTAACTAACTCTACTCTCTAGGAATCTTAATAGGTCATATTTGTATAAATTACTGTGTAAATACTTGTTAGAATATAGTGTGCAGTTAGTATAGTGGTCCAGTGAACTACAGCGGCCTATTACAATCACTATCTGAATAAAAAAAAAAATTAAATAAAAAGTGAGATTTCAAATTTCCAGAGAGCAGACACTGTATTGAATCTCATCTCATTCCCCTACACTCAAGTTGTGTGGTCTCTTATTTTTCCTTATAGACTGAAGCAACTTGCCCTCACAGAAACCTCTCCTGCCTCATTCTAGTCAAATTAAACGGCTCTAAACCAAACCTACCAACCCATACGCACCCTGATCCCTAACCATCTCCACCCCTTAGATCTGGATCCAACTCTGCCCCTGGATCTCATGTACTGCAATGAGGTGCTACTGGTAAAAACTAACACAGTCTCATCCCAAAAAGTCATATAACTGACGTTTTGGGACGTATTTTGACCATACGTCAATATCCGCCTTTTTAGGGCCCCCTTAAACGTCGGTAGATGGCGATCCCGGGCCGTCATACAACTGACGCTTTACCTTTAACGTCAGTTGGGTGACGGGCTAGGTTTAGGGTTAGGTTTAGGTATGGGGTAGAGTTAGGATCCCATAACCTCATCTACCGACGTTTAAGGGGGCCCTAAAAAGGCGAATATTGACGTATGGTCAAAAAACTGCCATGTTACGGTGAAATTTAAGAATAAAGAAAGCATATCAAGATATAGCCTACTTACTTGATTCATTATTTGCAGTATAATGTCTCATCCAAATGTGGCGGGTACAATTAGGCTGCATTACTATTACATTAAGGACTCCTCTCATCAAATTACATTTTACTGTCAAATATGTAGAAAACTGACACTTGTAGTTGAGTTCATTCCGATAAAAATGTCACCAACAGTTGTAGGCTACTGGAGTATTAGCAAATGTATTGCAGTGTAGAGGAAAAATACATTTCAAGTGCATTAATGCAATACAGTATTATAGACTAAACACATTTAAAATACATTAACAAATACATTTTGGACAACCCACTTGAGTTGAAATTAAAATCAATTGTTTTCCATGTTACAATTTTTATTTAGTTTGTATTTACAGTGTTTACAGTTTTTATTTAGTATATTAGTCACTACATCAAAATAACTGTACTTATTTAAAACACTATAGCCAACAATCATAATTATTTCAAGAAAAACTTAAGTACACATTATTACAAGACCACATTTTTAAAACATGCAATTAAGTGTGTTTAGAAAAATTGTCATGAAAGTACTTTATTTAAGTAAAACTTAATTAGACATTATAACAAAGTGGATTTTAACAAGTGCACTTAAGTGTGTTTACAAATATAAGTACACTTAAGTGGTCTTTAATTTTAATTACATTATCTCCAAATGCACTTTTAAAAAAGTATTGTTTTTGTCAGAGTTCTGTCACCGTTGTCTGGGTCTTCTCTTGGTTTAGTGACAGAGCTGTGACACTCCCGGTTTGTCATGTGTTTGTGTTTAGTCAGGTCTGTTGTGAGCACATGGCTGTCATGTTATTTCCTTGTGCCATGTGACCCCCTGTCTATTCTCTAAACCCATCTTGTTATCTCGTTATTGTTTAATTTCCTCCACCTGCCTGCCTCATTACCCTCTTATGTTTGTTCCCCTATTTATCTCCCTGTGTCTGCAGTCTTGTGCTGGTTCGTTGTCCATGTTAGTGTTTCCTCTATCCTGCCTGATTTCTGGTTTCCCCCCACGAGGGAGTTTTTGTTGCAATTTTGTTTTGTGTTATTTACTTATACCCATTGTTTTGCTCGTGTCCTCGCACCTTAATCCACCCGTTCCTTGACTTTTTTATGATTCGAAGCACAAAAAAGTAAGCTTTCAATACAATTAAACACTTCTTTTCACAAGGGAAGCCTTGACACGTTACACATGCTGAGCCATGTATGATTAAAGTAGCCAACATAAACATAATCATTCTGTCATCAAGAAGTTGTAATAACTAATGATCTAACAATCTTATGATAAACAAAGATGTACTGGATTAGATTTACAAGGAAACAATGCAATGTTAATGCTTCATAATGGCTCAATTTTCTGAGATTAGAATTTTTTTTTAGCCTTTTTTGTATTTCATCACCTTCATTGTGATGACCTCAGTGCATTGGAATGAAAGAGGGCTAGGCAGGTATTCATGGGAATGGGAGAGTTTTCTTCCACACGCAACATCTTTATAATATGACCGAAATGTAACTCTCCATCACGATGTATCATCACCTCCATTTAGTCATAATCTAAGACGGGCCAAATAAGGTGTGTAAAGTTGGCATGCAGCCTCTGACAATTTTTTTTTTCAATTCTAAATGCTAGGTTGATTCAAAACATGTCTGGGCCAAATATGAGCAAACCCAACCATTGGTTGAAATTTTTGATATCACTTTAGTTTCGGGTCCAGTTCTCACTATAAGTAAGTTCTTAGTATATACTGTATATTACTTGCTCTTTATTAAAATTTCTTAAGCACATATTAATGCCTTACTCTGCATAACCATATTCTACTTTACATCTCTTAAACATTCCTAAGTGTGACCACATTTTTAAATTACATTTTAAAACCAATAATTGATTTTGTCCATAATTTTTCCAAACGTGGTTTAAAATAACCCTAATTTTTTTTGAGTGTAGTTTGTGGTGTTTTTATAAGCACAATCAAATATAACACAATCAAATATTTTATCAGGGTGCGAAGGGCTGGAAACAAGTTCCTCGGGTTTTCCAGTTACTGTATATCTCACTTTGACAAGTGAGATCTTCATTTGATCTTCTGCCTTCGAGACTTCACTGTTGGCTTGCTGAGATTACAACAATGCTGAAGGTAATATTTTAGCTCGCAGATATTTGACACTGAAAAATTAATGTCTCGTTGCATTGCTATTTTAGCTTTAAACCACAAATAGCAGCTTTGTGAACATAATAAGAACCTATTCAAGGATTCATTATAAAAGTGATTCCCAAACAGAGGTAGCAAGTTGTTGGCAGTGCTTCATGGAAATAAGTGGTTTGTCAATGTGTTTACTCATTCAGCTCCTTTTTAGAAAAAAGTTGGGCTTTGCAACTCATTTGGGCAGTTTTGTAAACAAAACTATTTGGATAATAATTTGTGGATTTTTTTTATGCAAAAGAATAAAGCTCTCTTTGCGTCACTATAGTAACTTATTTATATGTTTTTTTTATTTATATGTATTTTTTATATGTTTTTTATAAGTAAATGCTTGTTTTGCAATGCTTATTGGTAAATATTAATTTTGTGTAAATATAATATGCAACATTAAAAGTCCATATGACAATTTACAAAAAAATAACAATACCTGTGATGATAATGAATAAATCTTTTACATAATAAAAGCAATACTAAACTGACATGTCTTTATTTATGTCGTCCTATATTTTAATTTATTGTGAAGTTTAGTCTCAAGACTTCTTGACATAACATATTTCTTACATCTGTATGAAACATATGTTTCTGTTACAAATTTCAAACAAAATATCTGTGTTTAAATCAGTTTCATTTTGCTTCCGTCTCACAGAAAGAGTTCATGCCATACTGGAACCTGAGTGTCACAGTGTTGCGGGGACAATTCAATCAGTCATATGACATTTGTAAGTAGATCAGCCCTCAAAAACATTGTGAATTGTGGTGAAATATTAATAAATTGTTTTATAAAGGTGATCTGGGTGTATTGGTGGACATTTACTTGAGTACTGTTGTCACGAACTGCTCCGAGACAAGAAGGTTGAGGATCCAAATGCAGTATTTATTGAACAGGGGAATCCAAAGACGTAATCCAAAGCACAGGCAAGGTCAAACACAAACAGGCAGTCCATAGAAACACAAAGGCAGGGCAGGGGCGGAGTAGGCCTGGCAGGCGTCCAGGGCGCAGCAGGGCAGCCGACCAGGGTGGAATGTTTTACAACCATAGAACAAAAAGAGTTAAATAAACGTGTCACTTCATCTAAAAAAAACAACAACATTTATTAGATCCTATATTGAAAGAAGTGTTACCTATATAGTGGAAGAGCCTCTTCTCAATATTATTAACTCATCTTTATCTTTAGGTCATGTTCCAAGAACATTCAAGCTGGCAGTTATAAAAGCTCTTATTAAGAATCCTCAATTAGATCCAAATAACCTAGAAAATTACAGACCCATCTCAAATCTTCCATTTATGTGAAAAATATTAGAAAAAGTTGCGTCCGCTCAACTCGGCTCTTTCTTTCAAGAAAACCACATCTATGAAAAGTTTCAGTCTGGCTTCAGGCCGCATCACAGCACTGAAATGGCGCTTGTTAGAATCACAAATGATTTACTTCTAGCTTCGGACCAAGGCTGTATCTCAATACTAGTTTTACTTGATCTTAGTGCTGCGTTCAATACTATAGGTCACACAATACTCTTTGATCGACTACACAATTACAGTGGTGTTCAAGAACAAGCATTAAGCTGGTTCAGGTCATACTTATCTGACCACTACCATTTCGTCTTAAATGGAGAAAAATCGATCGTAACTTTGGCAAACTATGGAGTGCCGCAGGGATCTATGTTAGGCCCTTTATTATTCTCAATATATATGCTGCCACTTGGTAATATTATAAGGAAACATGAAATTTGTTTCCATTGTTATGCTGATGACACTCAAATATATATTTCATCACGGCCAGATGAATACGCTAAATTATCCGAATTGACAGACTGTGTTAAAGATATAAAAGATTGGATGACGCGTAATTTTCTTTTATTTAAATCCAGAGCTAATACTTGTCGGTTCTAAAAATGGTTCTAAAAACCTTTCTGAGCACGACTTTAACATATTATGCCCTGTTACTTTATCTGCTGCAGAAAAAGACCTGGGTGTTACATTAGACTGCAAACTGTCTTTTGAAAAACATATTTCATATGTTACAAAAACAGCCTTTTTCCACCTTAGAAACATTGCTAAGCTACATAACATGCTATCTGTCTCTGATGCAGAAAAGTTAGTTCATGCATTCATGACCTCGAGACTAGATTACTGTAATGCTTTGTTGTCCTGCATCCTCAATAAACAAACTACAGTTATAAAAAAAATACAAAATACAGAAATACAGTTAGTCCAAAAAGTTAGTACAGTTAGTCCAAAAAACAAAAATACAGTTAGTCCAAAATGCAGCCGCTAGAGTTCTTACTAGATCAAGAACATATGATCATATAACACCGATTCTATCACTTGGTTACCTATAAAGTTCTGTATTAATTACAACAGTGTTTCCCAACCCTGTTCCTGGCGGCACACCAACACTGCGTGTATTCTTTGTCTCCCTTATCAAACACACCTGATTCAACCCATCAGCTCATAATCAGGTGGGTTAATGAGCTGATGGGTTGAATCGGGTGTGTTTGATTAGGGAGACAAAGAAAACACGCAGTGTTGGTGTGCCGCCAGGAACAGGGTTGGGAAACACTGAATTACAAGGTATTGCTTTTAACTTTTAAAGCATAAATTGTTTAGCTCCAGTCTATTTAACGGATCTTCTATCGCCCTACAATCCATCGCGCTCTTTAAGATCACTAAATTCGAGGCTCCTGGTCATTCTAGCATATCAAGATCCACCAAAGGAGGGAGAGCATTTTCACATTTAGCTCCGAAGCTCTGGAATAGTCTCCCTGATATTGTTCGTTGCTCAGACTCGCTCTCCCAGTTTAAAACTAAAGACGCATTTATTTAGCCAGGCATTCATATACATTTTTTTTTTTATCTTACAGTTACTGTAAATTTGCCCTCTAGTTCATAAACGCCAGAGGAGAACTGGCAACCTGATTGAGCCTGGGTTCTCCCAAGGACAGACCATTGGACAGACTAGCTTATAGACTCAAGCTCAAAAGCTCAAAAGCTTTTCATAAATACTGGGAACAGCCATTTGGGTGTCTGAAACCATTGTGGACGATATTTTGTGCACTTATTTAATCTAACATTCAACCCTACTACTGGAACTGTGTTCTAGAAATAAATGTTATATTGATAAGAGGGTATGGGGCGATTTCGGAAACAACCATATCTGATTAATGTGAATATTATTACTAGTCTTCTTGACTGGATGTCATCCTCTTTTTTTTATACCTTGTAGGATGTTACAATGGGGTCCTTATTTAATGTGTTTTTGTGCCTTTGCTGACTTTTAATTGCTGCATACATACTCCTCTTAAAAAGCATGCATGTGCACTAACTTTGCTCTCTCTCCAGTGACTAAATGTGACTGCTACGTCGTTTTAAAGTTACCCACGGCCTGTGCCTGCTGCCATCGGACCAGGACGGTGAAAAATAATAATGCACCAAAATGGAATGAAACGTTCCATTTCAGAGTGCACAGCGGTGTCAAGGTAAAGAAATCGGTTTCAGACTGTAGCAAGAAAACTCTTATAAATAACGCCCTTACATGTATTATTAAATGAGCTGTGTGTAAGATTGTGGCCAAAACTGGTACTGCAATCAGTTTCAATTTACTGTAGAGTGGTGTATCCCCTCTCCTCTGAACTCGAGGTTGCCAGATAGGCTGCAGGGCCAAACATTTTTTTTATCCAACACGTTTGTGGCTGCAGCTGTGGTAACTAGAGCAGAGCTGGCTACCCGAATGCTGCAACACTACTGAGTCCGTGATTGGTAGATTGGCCGGACTACTGTTGTCAGTGATATAAGTATTTGAAATGAACGTGATTTTTTTAATGTCTAGAGACATATCAGGGCCATTTTATGATTATTTGAAATACATTTCTTACATACAGCTCCTTTAAGGGTGTTTGTTTTAACTGAAAGAGTTAATGGGCATTGCACTTCTAACCTCAGATTCTCCACCTTCATTTTTCTTTAAATCGCAATGGAAGACGATTTCGATACTTCAACAGACAACGTTGAATTTTTTTCACAACCATATTTAGATCATTTCCGGTACTTTCCGGAGCTTGCGCAGACTGAAGTGCCCGCGCCAGCCATATTTACAGCTAGGCTGTGATATGATATAATGGGTTAGGCTGAATTTTTTTGACCTTATATTTGGGGGCCTCATGATGACCTTACCCCTATGTTCTTGTCTCCTCAGAACATTATAGAATTCCACATTTTTGATGCTGACGTGATAACGAAAGATGACTACTGCGCCACTATCCTATTCGACATCAATAACCTCACACCTGGACAAAAGCAAACAAAATGCTTCATTTCAGAGGATAAGGTAGATATATTTTTGTTTGTATTTTTATTATTAAAATTATTATTATTGTATTATTATTATTATTTGTATTTAATTATTTTTTTTTATTTTACGATCACTTCACTCCGATTTTACTTTAGAGTGGAAGTGGCCTTTGGTGTCTATTACTTTAAACATTGCAAATGTTGAATCGAGTATAGTCATATGCATGATGATTGTGCTGACATTTTTTCCAGAAAAAGAATGAGCTGTGGGTAGAGTTTGAGATGACAGAGAGGTGAGTGAAAATGTTAACAATCTGTTGAAAAGAATCTGCAAAAACAACAATGGTGGTGTCATGTCATTACCAAGTACTGTGAGGTTATGCAGACAGTTAGTAATTGTCCTCCCAATCAGTCTGAATTAATCAATCATTTTATCTCTTCCCTTTCTTTTTAAAGCTCTGAGAAGCCTGAGCCATACTTATCTAATGGAGTGCTGATGGTAAGAGATTTGATACATTCATAAAAGAGGTTAGAAATTATCATGATATTTTATCAATATAACCTAATATTATATTTCAGTATAAGCTCAAATAGAGCTAAACCCACTTACATTTACATGATGAATGTTTACATGATATTGCAAAATAAATGTACACATATTTTATTCAGTAGAACACTAATATGCTTTACGTTCATATGATAAAACTGACATCATATGATATTGATGTTTTATAACTGTATATTTTACACATAGGCCTACATTATGTAAAAATATTTAGCAACATCATAAGGAACAAGTTCAGGTTGCTATAGAACAAAACTGACTGTACATTGGACATATTAGTTGATCAAGTAAAACTCTGAAGGCACTTTAAATTTTTCCTTAATTTTTAGGCAGGTCCATTCTGTGCATTGGATGTGAAGGTGCAAAAACGTCTAAAGACTAATGGTAAATGGATATACTGTAGTCTATATAGCTATCAGACTCTCATTTAAAAAATTTAAAGTCTTCCTGTGGTGAAAATCATGTTTTTAATGTCATTTATGTGTCAATGTAGGGTTTTTAATATTGCTTTTAATATTGCTTTAATATTTCAAATTCATTTGTCAACACCATTGCAGAGTATTTTTTCTTTAAAACTGCAGTGATCTTAGGACAGTGTTAAAAATGCAGTTTGAAATCACCAGTGTTTCTTACGTCACAAATTACATGATTACGACATGATTGTAACCAATCGTGTCAAAGTATTGACATGATTGTCTCCCTTTGGAGATTTATTGTCTCCCTTTGGAGAAATTTGTTTTAGATTAGGGAACTGCTGCCATATGAATACATAACACATGTAAACATTAACAAACATTTAAAATCATAAAAACCCTGCATCATAAAAACAGTACATCTCATAACACCACCCTCAGTTCCTGCCTGTTTCTAAGAATGCTAATTGTTAGAAGGCAGCGGTCTGACTCTGAAATGCCGAACGGGAACATGGATTGTGAAACATAAGTAACACATTATTAGCTGTTAAGCATAGTCAAGCAAAAGGCTAATCATATTAATTGCTGTTATGTGTGCGACATTGAGCATATCTATAGAGTGCCGAAATTATGACGTCTCTAAGTTAGCAGCGCATTTTTTTCCATTTCATATGTATAATAAAATTAATTGTAAAATTAATTGTAAAATTAAATGTTTTTAATTTTATATAGACAGAACATAATTTGTTTTTTATAGGTGCTGAAATGCAAAAAAAAAAAAAAAAGATCTTGTTGGCCTCTTTTTTAATTGTGAAATTGATTGTTGTTAAATGATGCTATACCACCAAAATTGCCTCAGTTAGTTTTGATCAGATTCCATTCATCTTTCGATCAGAATAATAATTTGTGTGTTCTGAAGCTCTGACGAAAAGTTGGATGTCTTATAAAATAAAAAATAAAAAATATTTTATTACTGCTAAAATAAGACCAGTGCAAAGGAATTATCTCATATGTTTGTCTGTATTTACTTCAGCTGAGAAAAGCATGATGTTAAAACTGCGAGGTGCATATAAGGAAGACTGTACGATCCCGGGCTCTGAAGCCCCCAGTGGCACACAGACCTTATGCTTCTACATCAACCGAGACCTGGAGACTGAGTTTAGTCTCATTCCAGCAAAAGTATGTCATCGATTAAACTGATATTCGAAGATTTCTTAAAATGATCTACAATAAAGCATGCACATCACTGGACCAGCTGAGAGTAGGCCCTATATGATGCTTGTTTGTATGTTTGTTTTTTGTCCAGGCTGTGGAAGAAGTGGATGGGATAAATCCAAGGACTGAAGGCATTATGTCATCGGTCCCCGTGAAACCATTACCAGCAAAACAGCAGATTAACCTCTCCATGCCTGTTGGACAGGTGAGTACTGGTAAAATCAAATTGAAATGTTTTTTTTTTTCCACAATAAAAAGAAAAGCTAGTAACTAACTGCAGGTATAAACCCCTTTTAGGGTGAAGTGGATCTGCAACTAAGCACAGAAGATGGCCGGTAAACAATTAAGATGACCTGTTCAGGAACCATTTCAAAGAAACTATTTTGGCAATATATCAACCAAAATTGAATGATTTTTAAGTGTTAAATTGATCATTGACACTGTATACCACTAAAATTTCCTCTATTAGTTTTGATCTGATTCCATTCATCACCAGCTTAGAATAATCGTGTGTGTGTGTGTGTGTGTGTGTTCTGAAGCTCTGATGAAAAGCTGGATGTCCGTCTGGGTTTTGATATCCCTAAGGAGGAAAAAAAATTTCTGGTGAAGAGAAGAAAAGTCGTGTCACAAGCTCTACAGAAAGCTCTGAATCTCAGCTCTGCACCTGAGACCAGCAAGGCAAGAGAACAAACACAGACATGAGTATAAACACTGCAAGCATAGTGACCTGACATATCATTGTTCACATCCCATTTTTTGTCCAATTTATGTGATAATTTGTATAATTATAGTTAATTCAATTATTAAATACTAATTAATGAACTAATCAATTCAAATATATATATATATATATATATATATATATATATATTACACTTTAACAGTTTATTGTTTATGGCATGTCTTGTTCATGCAGAAAAGTCTTGTTTGATTAGTATATTTATAAGATTGATGTGACTTCTCAGGTTCCTTTGGTGGCTGTGGTGTGTTCTGGGGGTGGAAGCAGAGCAATGATTGGCACATTTGGAGGCCTAAGAGCCCTGCAAAAACTCCAACTTCTTGATGCAGTCAGCTACCTCACTGGGGTTTCTGGCTCCACCTGGTGTGTATAAAGAGCACTACAGGCTCCAGTTTGACTTGTTCAATTCTAAGTGGTTCTGGTTCTCATCAGGGGTTGCTTCAAAACCCATGGATTAAATGTCATTAAACAACAAACTTTCTCTCGTTGTCACATAGGACCATGGCTTCTCTTTATAATGACGCTAACTGGTCAAACAATGACCTAAATGGGGCTATGGAGTCTGTAAAGAAGGAGATCTCTAAAGGTGTGTTCAGTGTATATTCCATCGAGCAGCTACGTCATTACAAAGAGAAGATGGAAGAGAGAGCGAAAGAAGGACGCCACGTATCTATTGTCGATATGTTTGGTCTGTCTATAGAGTATCTCATCCAAGGGAAGGTACATACAACTGTTCGTTGCATAGGCGTAAAATACATTTTGAAAATAAGAATTCCAAATAATTTTCTCTGTCAGAAACTCTATAAATTATTTTCTTCCTCAGAACAAAATGGGTACGCTATCTGACCAGCAGATGGCACTAACAATGGGCCAGAACCCTCTACCCATCTACACAGCTCTCAACATGAAGAATGGCAAGAAAGGAAATGTCATAGAGACTGGTAAGTACTGAATTCCCTCTGGCTGGTTTAATTTGCTTTCAACGTTCAGTCCTACAAGATAATGGTCCTTTATGGTCAATAAGTTCGTTATGTTTAGTCCTTAACAGATCAGTTCTTTGTACTAATAACAACTGAAGTACTTGTAGATATGTTGTCCATGCTTCTCTTTGCTCTTTTCTCAGAATGGTGTGAGTTCACCCCATATGAGGTTGGATTTACCAAGTATGGTGCCTTCATACCTGCACAAAACTTTGGGAGTGAATATTACCTTGGCCACATGGTCAAGAAACTCCCTGAAACTGGGATATACTCTCTATTGGGTAAATAGATGTAAATTTTCCAAAGGTTAATGAATGGCAAACCATTTTAAGTTAAAGATTATTTGAAAACTATTTGTGTTGTGTGTGATATGCTGTGTTTGCAGGGATATGGAGTAGTGTTTTCTCTCTGAGTCTGACTCAGCTTTGGAATATTGTGACTGGAGTGATCCCATCCTGGGCCAGCAATATTGGGGAAGAAGTGAACAACACCGGTAAGAGGAATGCAATATCAATATTGTATTTGATATGTAATGGTATCCCTTCAAGATCCGTTAAATTAAATTAAAACAACTACAACACAGCACAATCTGGAAATATGTTCTAAAACTGGACATTTCACATAATATATAGGTTACACACCCCTACTATGCAAAATATACATAAAACGTTAAAATATCTAAATCAGAACAAGACAGGTAAACTTTTGTTTTCTTTACCAACCCCCCAATGTCATTCTCTCTATCTGTAGATACAGACAACAACCCATCAACGTCGGACACACTGCACGTCAACCCTATGACTGACATGGCAAAAAAGCTGAACAACTTTTTGACCAGCCGCCCCATTATTAGCCAAGTGTTCAACTTCCTGAGAGGCTTCCAGATGCATAGGAACTACTGTGACAACTGTGACTTCACCGCATGGAAGGGTCAGAACATCATTTATGTTGTTAAGTTTAACCTTACCATTAGGATAAGTTCAATCAAACTGGGAATGGACTAATTATTAATTATAAAGATGACTTTCTGCAGAAACCCATCCAGATGCCTTCCCGAACTCTCTGACACCAGCAGACGCCACGCTTGGCCTGGTGGACTCTGCCTTTGTCCTCAAGTCAGGATTCCCTCCTGTGTTACGGTGTGACAGACATGCGGACATCATTCTGTCCCTGAACTATGCTTGGGACCCTGACCACTTCAAGGTGAGAAGCCCTAAAAGATTTAATAGATTACATGGAGAAGAATCATGAGAAAATGTGATTTTGATGTTTGTGTGTGTCTGAAAGGCCATAAAGCAAACTCAGGAGTTCTGTGCCGAACGGAAGATTCAGTTTCCGAAGATCGATTTCAAAAAGTTGGAGTCTGAGCCGATCAGGGAAGTTTATGTGTTTGAGGATGAAGAGAATCCAGAGGTTCCCATAGTGATTCACTTTCCCATGATCAATCTCTCATTCAAACAGTTCAAAGCTCCTGGTGAGTTTTTTTTTTCTTCCATTTTCAAACCTTTACTATTACCATCATTTTAAGTTTGAATAATTAAAGGGACAATTCACCTAAAAAAATAAAATTCTGATATTATTTACTCACCAAAAGTAGCATTTTTAAAGTTTTTCTCTCCATGCAATGATAGTCAGTGGAGTCTAAAACAACTTTGGACCACATCAACTTTTATTGTATGAATACAATTTTTCAAACATACAGTATAGTGGTCCTCAAATGAATCCTCAAATGAATGAATTAAGAGATTCTCATTTTGCACAAAGATACTCGGTATATTATGAACTTAAAGCAATTATGTGTGTGTTTGTGTGGTAGGAGTGAAGAGAGAGGGTAAGGCGGAGATGAAGGAAGGAGATTTCGATATTGACTTCAACAGGACGTTCTGTCCATTTGCCACTCAAAACCTTACCTACAAGCCTGAAGATTTCCAGAAGATGGCCAACCTTTCCACCTACAACATTCTGAACAACAAAGATGTCATTTTAAACATGCTAAACAAAGTGGTTAAGAGAAACACGTGGTTAAGGAGAAAATTCCTGTTACAAAGTCATCAAAAGTGTGAGGCTGGAATTGAAGACTGACAGCAGGAACAATTAGCAAGTGTTTTTTGTATATTTAACTCTAAAAGGATTCATTTAATAATGAGTTCAATCATTCTTGACCCTCATGTTGTTCCGAAACTGTGATTTTTTTTTTCTTCTTCTACTTCTTTTCTGTAGATCACATGGCATTAATGCAATAATATATATATATATATATATATATATATGCAATTCAAAATAAATAGAGCAACTAGAATAATATTTAAATATTTTAATTTTAACTTTGAATTAAAAAAAAAAACACCCAAAAAAAAAAATCGCAACAATATTAAGAAGGCAACATTGAATATACAACATATAACTAACTTCATTTTTAAAATTCAGAAGGTTATCATTTTACAGCCCATTTAAACTTGACAACAGCTGGGGCCTTGCTCACTGACAGCATATACTTTAATAGTGCTCCTGGAAAGTAGACATAAGGAGTAAATAATGTTAGCCTTTAGTGTAGAAGCCAAACTGGGTAGTTCTGTTAAATGCTTTAACAGTAACACCACAGTAAATTGTATATGCCTAATACTAAACCAATGCAGCATGTTATTAGCATGTAAACAACTGTAGCATAACGGAAATTAATACAAGCACACTTTAGGCTAATGTTAAAGGTGCAGTGTGTAGAATTTAGGCCCCGTTTACACGATGGGAAAACGCAGATATTTCAAATCAGTGGCTAAAATCAGGCTAAGAAAAACGCCTTTTATTTATAAATCATGACTACTAACGCAACCCAGGAAACATTATAAAATAATAAAAGAACCCCATGTCATGGGACTGTTAAATTAATAAATGTATATTAGATTTAACTTTTTATTTTTCATTATTCATAAAGCATTTTAGGCTAAAATGTGTTCTAAAATGTGGCTTTTGGATATGAAAGATTAGACCAAATTCTCACATCAGCAGTATAACTTAATTTTTAACATTGTTATATGAAATACAGTGTATATGGACTCTCAGACCCCGTTTACACCTGGTATTAAAATGCGATCTGTATCCAGATAAGTTATCCGGATAATAAGTACTGATTCCATTTACACCTGGCCACATAAATGTGTTTTTGCAAAACGGATATAAATCCGATCTTCACCTCCTGCGTTATATGCAGATTTATTGGATTGCACGCCACCAAAAGCAACAGATCTGAGCGGCATTTTATTGATCATCAGCTAATTTCCAAATCAGAAGCATCAATAAGAGAGAGTGGCAACAGGCCTGGTAAGATAATTTCGTTTCTTTACTTGAAGATGTGTTAACTGCGTCTGTGACTTACTTTCACTTTTATTTGCGATGTTTGCACGTTGAATAGACGCTCAGCTGCTCATCTGCGGTGATGCGTGTCGCGTGTCGCATCTGACTAGGCTATAACATGACATATAGCCTATATAACACGCTCTCACTCGTTTATTTTTTAGCATTTTTGGGAGGAGTAAAATATACATATGTGGTTTCAACAACCAGATTGCGTTTACACCGTAAAGATCCGGACACAATGCGAGCCAGACTACCTCCAGATGTGGTCAGGCAGATCCGATCACGATCCGATCACAACGCGTTTACACCTTGCATTAACATGCGTTTTTTATTATCCGGATAACTTATCTGGATACAGATCGCATTTTAATACCCAGCCCATTCTCACTCCCAAGGCGTCACCTAACTGACGCCTTGGGAAGCATTGGACATGCTTCAATATCTGACGCTTTATTTTGCTCACCAATTAAGGCTGCATTTACTGGATCAAAAATACAGTAAAAAATTATAGGGTAATATTGTGAAATATTAGTATTACAATTTAAAATAACTTTTTATTTAAATTTATATCTGTGGTGGCAAAGCTGAATTTTATTTTAAACGTTCCGCATAACAGTATCCTTTTTCCAATGTATATCAGTGTTGTGCTGTTGCAGTTTTTTCTTGTGTTCAGCACCCCTCTATTTTGTTTCTGACTGTTTGCAAGGAATTATGGTAGTCTCTCAGGACGCTGCCGTTTCCTGTCATGATTTGCTCAACAGGAGTGACATTGATGCACAATGTTCAAAATACCCTGGGGCTAGTATTTGAATTTGTGTTGCCTGACAAACAAACGTGATATTTTATTTATCACCAAGGGGAAAACAGCTCCTGTTTGTGCAGATTTGATAGATTTGCTGTAGGTGACACAAGCTCTTGAAGGGTTTTTTCAGTTTAAAATGTAGACATTAAATGGATTTCAATTAAATTAAAACATTTAATATTACATTTAACTTTTGAAAGTTTCGTTATTCATAAAGCATTTTAGACTAAATTGTACTCTATTGGATATGAAAGATGCCAAATTCACAGGAGTATAACAATTGCTAAATGAAATATGGACATCGACTAAAAGATGTTGAATCATTTGGTTTCCATTATTACACATATTCTGAGTTGTGCTGAGGAGGCCAAGGATGAACTACTGGTAATTCAGACCTCATGTAAAGTCAGCATGCTGGGTGACGATGCTGGGTGTAAATATATGTGACAGTTCATCATGATCTAACACAGTCTCATCCCAAATCGTCATATAACTGACGTTTTGGGACGTCTTTTGACCATACGTCAATATTCGCCTTTTTAGGGCCCCCTTAAACGTCGGTAGATGAGGTTATGGGATCCTAACTCTACCCCATACCTAAACTTAACCCTAAACCTAACCCGTCACCTAACTGACGTTAAAGGTAAAGCGTCAGTTGTATGACGGCCCGGGATCGCCATCTACCGACGTTTAAGGGGGCCCTAAAAAGGCGGATATTGACGTTTTTTTTTTTTTTTTGCTACTCAGACGATTTCAAGAAGAGATCCACCACAGAAGTCTGGGAAATCTTACAACACAAATATTACTCAAGTTTTTGTATGTTTAATATATACACATTATTATCAACAAACACTAAAGCTGTAATCTAAATGAGTTTTAATGATGAAGTTAAAGAAAAACAAAAGAAGAAAAGAAGTTTTTTTTTCAACAAACAGAAGAGGATAAAAAGATATAAACATTTGGAAGCCCTGAGATTTGAGTGTGTGAGTGTGTGTGAGAGAGAGACAGAGAGAAAATTAAGATCAAACAAGCTTTGATTGAAAAGATCTTGAATATCGTATGTCCAAGTTTGTTTCATGTTTAGATTCAAAGGAAATGGCAAACTATTTTCCCAACAACAATTTGTGATGATGGAAAAACAAACAGCCTTACACTAGTTGATCAAAACAGGCATTTATAATAATGAAAATCCATTCATGACTTCGTTGGTGTTGCTAAATGTAGGCCTATTATGGAAATGCATGCATGCATAATTTTTAAAACGGAAAGGGTCACGATAGTAATAATCAAGCATTCAAATTAATGTACCGAAATAGCAGAATTAACCTAAGACCCAGATATGTGGTTCCTTTTCAAAATAGTTAAGAATTACTGAGCTCAATCAAGCTGATTTAAGCACAAAAAGTGCAGTTAAGAGAGAGAGAGGACAGTGTCGTGAAGTGATAAAATGCCATCTGATCCATGCATGGGGTCATTTTCTGTTTAACCCATCTCTTTTCCACTGCGGTGACGTTTTGTGTGGACAGGAAAGGGTGATTTTGGTTTGAGATGAGCATTTGGCCTCTTGGCCCTCTGGTTTGATGGAAAACCACAGCTGAGGGGAAGCATGATGACTGGAGTCTGTGGGGAAATAAACATGACGTTTGAACCACAGGAATGTAGAGAGAATGGAAAAGAAGATGAGACTAATGAGTTGGCTGGTTGGACGAGAGAAATGAGGACAGTGATGGTAAACATGAGTACCATTTTTAGTGTCCTTATTCTCAACCTGGTTCTCAGTATGAACAGACAGTTCAAATCAGAGGGGGTTACCGTTCTCCCAGCCCATTCTCACCCCCAAGGCGTCACTTAACTGACGCCTTGGGAAGCATTTGGACATGCTTCAATATCTAACGCTTTAGGCGCCCTTTATCGTCAGTTAGATGACGCCCTAGGATCGCGTGTACCCTACCCCCACCCCACAACTAAACCTAACCGCGTCCTCTGACTGACGCTTTCCTTTAGCGTCAGTTATATGACGCCGTAGGATCGCGTCATGTAAGTGACGCTAAAGGGCGCCTAAAACGTCAAATATTGAAGCATGGTCAAAGGCAGGGTCGGCGCTATGGTGGGGCATTCGAGGGCCGGGCCCCCCCTAGCGCTCATTGATGCCCCTCCTACCACAGTTTCTAAATCATAAATCAGATGTAGGCTATACAATACCAAATGTTCAGCAATCTATTTAAATAGTACATCGTGTTTAATTTTTTGTCTAAGTGGATCTAATATGTGTTGGTGCCAAGAATTTTCACATGAAGAAATAGATACATCCAATCCGACTTTTCATTGTAAGTGCTGTAGTGGTCCAGTGGTAAAACCTTAGACTGGCGTGCAAAAGATTTTGGGTTCTAACCCACACTCGCATAATTATTTTTTTCCCCCATCATTAAAACCGATTATGTTTATCAGTGGTTGTCAAGCAGGGACATGTTTGAGTGCATTTTACTTTGGAATTCACCGGTACGAATAGAGATTTCGCCGCAACAGATCAAGCGCGCGTCCGTGTGAAGATGTTTATTGTGGCAGCGCGAGCCACAAGAGAACACTTCAGCACCACAGATCGAGTCACCGAGCACTTTGATCACTTGATTTAAAAAACAACACATTTCAGCGTGCTATATCGCCTCTTATTTAACAAATGAATGCTCTGCTAGGTAACCGGATATGTTTTATTTATTATTTGTATTGGTACATCCGTGCCGCGAGATCGAGATGTATAAAAGTGCCGGGACAACATCGACCCTGGCAAAAAGTGGTGGGGAAATTCGCAAATAATAATTATAAATAATAATTATAATAATAAAAGGTGTTTCGTTTTTTTTTTTTTTTTTTTTGCGTCAAAATATTTCTTAAACGGCAGTGCCCCCCCACTGATGACCCAATGCCCCTCCAGTAGATCTGCTCTGGCGCCGACTCTGGTCAAAGGTGACGCCTTGGGGTGAGAATGCGTTGGTTCTCTAGAACACTGACATCTCTGTGACCTTAGTTACAACTCCTCAACACT